AAAAAAAAAAAAAAACACAAACTACTTTTTTTTTTTTTTTTTTTTGAGACAGGGTCTCATGTGTTCTAGGCTTCCCTTGATCTGGCTTTTAGTTCAAGATCCTCCTGCCACGTCCTCCAAAGTGCTGACACTACAGGTGTGTGCTACCAGCTCTGAGTTTATGCAGTACTAGGGATTGAACTCAAAGCTCTCTTATGCTAGCCAAACACTCTACCAAATGAGCTACATCCCCAAGCCAACTATGAATTTTTTTCCCCTCTTCGATTTTTAAGTGAACATTAAAATAAAAAAGCTTTTTTTAAAGATTTTATTTATTTATTATGTATACAACATTCTGCTTCCATGTATATCTCCACATCAGAAGAGGGCACCAGATCTCATAACGGATGGTTGTGAGCCACCATGTGGTTGCTGGGAATTGAACTCAAGACCTCTGGAAGAACAGTCAGTGCTCTTAACCTCTGAGCCATCTCTCCAGCCCATAAAAAAGGTTTTAAGTTTGCATTCAAGTCACTTTGAGACACATCTCCGAACCAGTCAGCTGTCACTTCATTCTCCTAGACTGTTTGATGTACTTCCCTGGAAAAGTCAGAAAATTGCTGCCCCAATCATCTTCCAGGATCCTCTTAATCCCCAGCATTTTCTCTCCACAGCTTTTAACCAGCAAAATCTCAAAAACAAGTGCAAAAGCAAGGACCTGGATGTGCTGATCAAACTGGACAGGAAAGCATAAGGAGGTGACGTGTCACACGTGGCCTCTAGGGCCCCCAACTGTCACTGCACACATCATCTCCCTTTCCATCATCAGACTACCGATCTTTTCCTCTTTTCATGGCAATCACAGGAAACAGTAAATTTTATCATAGTTATTTTATATCCTGTAAACACCAGTAGAGGAGGAATTATAATTCTTTCTACTAATACAAAACTAATCTTTTCTGTATTTTCTGAGCAATTTTAGAAAAGTGGATGATTAAAGGCAGACAAGTAAAATCTATAGATAAAATGCATGGTAGGAATAGGGTAGGAGAATCATCCATAAATGGAGGGTCAGGCAGATTGGGCTTTTGCTCTGAAGGCCTTATGAATAAGAGTATGTTTGAACTGGGAGACATTCAGGTTTTCTTTTCCTTATTAAACATTTGAATCACCAGCTGGACATGGTGGTTCATACCCATAATCCCAGCACTCAGGAGGCTTCAACAGGTGGACTGCAATAAACCAAGGCCAGCCATATTACAAAGAAAGTTACAGGCCAGCATGAGCAAGAGAGTGACACTGTCTCAAAAAAAAAAAAAAAAAAAAAAGAGTCACTAGACTTCTCCTGTATTTCTATACCAGTCCTAAAATGCCCACAGAACTAAAGTAATCACTTAATATTATGAATACTTAACCATTCCAGAGGCTAACTGACTACCAACTGTTGCTCACTGTCTGCACCACCTATGCTTCAGCAGGGCTGAACCTCTGGTCTGTTTTGACAGTTTCAGCTTTCACATTGCAACAAACTATAATCACCCCTTACAGGCCTAACAGCCAGTGTGGCTCGGCAAGAGGCTGCATACCTGTGTTCTGATTCATTCTGGGGCAAATAGTCTTTAACCTCTTAAAGACTATCACCAAGTAGACATCATTCTTTGCTCCCAAAATTCTACAAAGAACACGGAAGTCCTAGAACCTCCGAGCACTCAGGTCTACCAATAACATCCTCTGGACAAAGCTAAAGAACCTTCCTTTCCCACAACAAAGTGTCCCTGAGATGCCAAAGCAACAAAGAAACGTGGCTCTTCTCCTGAGGCATCCCAAGCACTCTATGCTTGGTAGGTGCTCATTTGGAAGAATGTCAAACCTTTAAAATTTGTATTTACATAGTTGATTATGAAAGGCGTGGGCCACCAACGCCCAGCTAGTAGTTGTTCTTTATAATACCTTCTAAGACTTTTTCCCAGAGACATACGTTCATTTATGGTTTGTTTCTGAGATTGAAGGAATGTTAATCTGGGTATTATATTGCTGTAACAAATCATGTCCCCATAAGTTCATTGCTAAGTTATTCCCCTCTGTCCTTCTGGGCCTATACATTCGACCCATTTTGTGCTTTTTACTTAAGATAATGTTCCAATCTCTAAAAGATGAACATTACTCCTGAAGAGGCCAATTTGGAGTCATACACCTTGTTTTTTGAAACAAGATCTGTCATTGGATCTGAGGCCTGATGCTTTGGTTAGGCTGGCTGACCAGCAAGCCCCAGGGAACTGCTTGTCTCAGTATCCCAGGGCTGGGATTACATATACATGCTATCACATCTGGTTTTGTGTTTGCTTGCTTGCTTTTAACGTGGGTACTAGGGATAGAATCCAGGGCCTCATACTTACAGAGCAACCCCTTCATCTACTTAATTATCTCCCCAGACCCTTTTTAGAAGCAAAAGGAAACTACTCTAGCATATCCCTTTCACAGGATGTCATTTATCAAGGATGGGTATCAATACTGAGATTACAGTTAGAGGTCAGGTTGTACCAAGTCAAGCAATGATTTGATTCCTGAAATAGAAGGTGGGACATGATATCAACATGATAGAACACCAGAAAAGAATTACATTTTGGCTAGGCAGTGGTGGCCCATGCCTTTAATCCCAGCACTAGGGAGGCAGAGGCAGGAGGATCTCTGTGAGTTCGAGGCCAGCCTCATCTATAGAGTGAGTTCCAGCCAGGGCTACAGAGAACCCCTGTCTCCAACAACAACAACAACAAAAGGAATTAAATTTTTATCAGACTTTCCAAAGCTATGATAGCATGATAGAGAGAGAGAACTGATCTCAATGTAAAAAAAACAAAACAACAACAACAAAAAAACATTAAGAGTGTTACTTTGGTGACATGAGGGGCCTACACAGGAGAGGAGTTGTCAGGCCTTTTCTGAGATTAGCACAGGGGCTGGGAAGATAGCTCAGTGGTTAAGAGCACCTGCGGAGGTCTGGACTCAGTTCCCATCACTCACATGGTGGCTCACAACTGTCTGTGACTCCAATTCCAGGGGATCAAACACCCTCTTCTAGCCTCTGAGGGTGCACACATATACATGTCAGTAAATACACATATACATATAATAAAAATAAACAAAATTTTTTAAAAGCAGCAATAATCTGAACCAAGTTAGCAAACAAGAGCTGGAAAGTATACCACAAAGGATTTTTAAATACTCAAATGTCAAAAGGTGTCTCGAGCTGAGAGTGTGACTCAGCAAGCCCCTGGGACTTTTCTAGAAAAAAACAGTTCCTCCTCTATGTACAGAAAGACATACAATAAAAGAGAAAAAATTATTGATAACACTGAGGTAGCAGAGACTCCCATACTTAGAATTTAATATTTCTTCATACCTGGCTATATAATTTGTTTTTAATTACATAGTATTTAACTTTTAGATGTTGTGATTAAATATTTATGCTGCTTCTTAAATAATATGCTTATAGAAAAACATTTGGCTCTTGTACAGTCTCTCAACTCTGAGGCATGCAGAAGAACCTAGCTATTGGTCGGCCCTGCTCTTTTAATGGCAGTATCTTGATATCTAGGAAGAAATAAGCATTATCTCTAGACAATTTTGTAACTTATACCTATTCAACAAATGCCTCACTAGTCATACCAAACTTGAATAATACTGGAACCATTGAATTTCAATGATAAGCAGATTTGACAAAAGGCAGGAGAATTCCTTACACTAGGAGCTATACCCATGGCTGACATACAAGCTCCTTAGTATGGAGTTCACATATTCAGCATCATTTGGTCTCAATCTGAATGCTAACC